CAGTTCTTTTTCTACATTCATTTAAATCTTTTATCATTTTCTCTTTCTTTGATTTTTTTTTTGATAAGATTTGGGAATCTAGTTCTCCTTTCCCGAATGCCTATTTCTAGCGGCATATCCTTGTTGTCTCCGCATCAAATCCTGATAAAAACGTGGGGAATCTTTCCTCCTCTTCATTATCATAACGCTGACTAGGCTCAATGAATCTTTCTTTTTTTTAATCGTTGCAGATCAGGAGGTCATCGTACCATGACGTGATAAGGGTATCGGAGATCCAAAAGGTGCTCGACATCACCGGCGTCCAAACCTACATCATCAACAGCGCCCGCGTCGTATTCCTCAACGAGCGGCCGCAGCCGAGGCCGGGCAAGGGCGTCACCAACACCTGCGAGGTCTGCGATCGGAGCCTCCTCGACTCCTTCCGCTTCTGCTCCCTCGGTTGCAAGGTAATTTGACAATTCCCATTCACTGATGACGGTCTGCCGCAACCGTAATTACAATGAGAGTGTCAAATGGGGGCCTGATAATTGCAGTCGTTGAAACCAACTTTGGGTTTTTTTATAATTAAAAAGTATATATTAATGATGCATAAAAAAGATATCAATCAACAAATAAGATCTTGTCAGTCTCCCTGGATCACAAATCCCCATGTTAGGTGTTAAAGAGTACTTTGTAACCAAAGTTTATGGGACCGATTATGAGACAGGTCACTTGTCCCACTGTTGGTTCAGGACAACTTCGGGTCAAAAATTAATTTTCTAAAGCATGGGGGTACACTGGATACTTTCTCAGGCAATAGTTACATTTGCTTAATTCTATTCCAAAATTTTAATGTTTTAGCGGGCATTGATGATTGTTGTTGTAGGTGTTTGTTTCGACATATTGTTAACCGTAACCATTGAGGTTGTAGGCAGAATCATTGGTTGCAGTAAAACAAACAGTTGTGTAGTTTTTACAATTGCGAATCAAGTTCACGATGCTATTGACTTGAGCTCTTGATTACAACTTCATTCGTCTGCAGATTGTTGGCACTTCTGAAGGTTTCAACAAAACCAACCACAAAAAGGACAACATCAGCAACAACATTAAGAAGAAGAAGGCATTCGCGTCGCCGTCGCACTCCGAAGAGTCCTACTCGAGCACAAGCCACGGCAGCGCGAAGAGCAACGTGATACAGAGCTTCAGCCCCTCAACTCCGCCGCCAACGACGGTCAATAGTTACAGGAGCGCCAAGAGGAGGAAGGGGATCCCTCACAGGGCTCCCTTTGGTAGCCTCATCTTGGAGTACTAGTCTCCTATACTCGGCCAAAATTATGCACAACCTATGCTGTTTGCGGTAGTTACTAGATATAGAAGGGGGGTTGAAATGAAGAGAGGTGTTATGTATACTTAGAAGAACAGAAGTGGGGCTGTTTAATTATAGGGAGCCTTGTAAAATGTATATAAGTGAGTACGGATGAAATATGTGTGTACATATAGAAATGGAATAAGATTTGATGCTTTTATTTCTAATTTTGGCGATCCCAATTATGGTGGGCGTGGTGGTGGTGGTCCAAGGAGAGAAAAGTCCACGAGGGGGGGGTGGGCTTGCGGGGTTTTGATGAGTGGATTTGATCCGATTGGGTTCGTGGCAGGCTGGGGGTTGGTGTGGGAAATCGCGTCAAAAACGTGGCGCTTTGCTGATTAAAGAGGGGGTGAAGTGCATCGGTCTGCTTCCTCTGCCAGTCTCTCTCTCTGCTTTTTTATCGATTCTTGGCGGGCGGCATTGTTTTTGTCGCAGCTTGGCCGCCTTCATAATTAAATATTGGATTATTCGTGAATAGATTTGTGTAGGATCCTCCAGTCCCAGATAGACACTGCATAGTTTTTCCAGACGGATAGATTCTAATAAATGAATTTTCTTTTTTGGGACCGGAAATAAGTAAAAAAATATTTTGAGGAGCCGAATGGATCCCTCAGTTCTATCGAGGAGAATGAAATCTTATTTTGCTAAAACTTTTTATTTTTTCAGAAATCTGGATCAATTCTACCGGGTGTATTCATACAAGTAAAACTATAGGAGTCTAGTCGCAGTCGGGCAGTATTAAGGGGGGTCTATTGGCGATCAAGCCTTGAATGTTTTTTTGATCTGAGTTTGCATCGATTGATTATGGTTAACTTAATTTACAAATGTCTAGGATTATATGATAAGGTACGTTGTCACAATGTCACGGGCACTATGAAGCGAAGCAGTCACTGAAATGTTTAAGCACCGATTCCTAGCTGAGAGTTCTAGCTGAAATGTTTGTTTGCACGGAAATAATTATGAGGCCGCTGAAGTAAAAAAAAAATAGAGACTACTTCTACTTCCAAGCACCGATTTCTAGCCGAGAATTCTGGCTAAAATATTGGATTACACGATATCTCTGATTTTTAATTGATTAAAGAGAAAGTCCTGCCCTTGTGCAGTCGCGCAATTAGTACAGGGATTTGTTGGGTTAAGGTTTAATTTTAGGGTTTAGTTTTTGTTTTGGGACACGTGTACCACTACGACAGCGAGTGATAGCGATGAGTGTCGCTAGTAAAATGGAAAACGAATTTTTAACATTTGAAAATAACAAATTTCTAATAGCTAAATTTGATAATGTAAATCATGTTACATCGATTAAGGATAACGATCGCCAATTAGCTTCTAATTTCATTAGATTTAATAACCTTGAATGATTAAATTTCATTAATTAGTATTTATTCTGTTAAGAACATATTCATAATAGGATGAAAAATCCTTTAAGGGCCCAAAATATGGGACCAATAAGAGGGACAAGTAAGGTGTCCCCCTCATATTGGATAATGAGTTGGCCGTCATTAATGATGGCCAACTCATTATCCAATAGGAGGGGGACACTTTACTTGTCCTTTTTATTGGTCCCATATTTTGGGTCCATGTAGCAAAGCTCTTGATGAGGATTTATATCTAGAGGAACTAAAATAGGAAAAGAATATGTAAATGCTTATAACTTTCTAGAGTTAAAATAGTAAAATTTATCATTAAACCAGATTCTCGGGTCGGGATTTGTGCAGTGGCCACCGGCCAGTGGGTTCATTGAGATACTCGTGCTGTGCGCCCATAATTTGCAGCCAATGAAATGGCCACAATGTCCCTACTGCAATTATAAAATAAAAAAAGTCAAGAATAATTTTGTACCAAGAATGCACAATGAGCACACCCGATAGGGCCATGAATACATGTGTTTATTTTCTTTAATTTTTAATAATATGAATCTACATATTAAGGTAAAGAGCTAAATATTCATATTTGTATTTTAATTCGATCTCATTTATCAATAAGGTATTTTAATTAGCCAAACACATTTTAAGATATTTTAATTGGTTCAACTTACCAACAATACCATTTTTCTCATCGGCGACCAGTTTTTTGGCGAGAGCTCATCACGTGCGTGGCACGTGATGACTTAAAATGTTTTTTAGTTGATGATGTGGTACGGATTTTCTGACGTGGCAGTGTTTAAAGGCGAGAATTAACCCTCTAAAAATCTCAATTCACCCAAAATAGGATAGATCTGTGCCACATCAGCAGCTAAAAAACAGTTTAAGTTATCACGTGTCACGCACGTGACGAGCTCTCGCCGGAAAACTGGTCGCCGACGAGAAAAAGGATCTTGTTGGTAAGTTGAACCAATTAAAATGCCCTTAAAACATGTTTGCCTAATTAAAATACCTTCTTGGTAAATGAGGTAGAATTAAAACACCAATATGGGTATTTAGCCTAAGACAAAGTGAATTATATTTGTATTTGAATGTCCAGCTCATATTATCGATTAGACATTTGGGATTATTCTAATCTTAACTTAGTCGATCTCAAAACAATTTTTGATCATTTGGAGATTTTATCATTGTTTTAAAAGATATTTCGAACATATTAATTAATGGACTATGCCTGAGAGATTTTGTTTATTGAAACAGTTATCGTCTCACTTGCTCACATTTTTCTGTCCTATTCAATTTCTTCGTGTTTTCTCACTCACTCAACATCCACACTTAGTCAAACTCCCCCCCCCCCTCCGCCCACCACACACACACACACAAGAATAGTCTCCATAATATCAACATCTTGACTAGTAATGTTATAGCACGAATTTCCCTAAAAAATTCGTATTTATATCTAGAAAAAATTGTGTCAATGCCCTAAAAAATAAAGTTTTTTGTGAGGAACCCTCTGTATTAATTCCAATGTGTGAAAGCCCCAAATATGTCATACATTAGTGATTTAACCCATTTATACTCTACCAAGTCGTCATAGAGAAAAAAAAAGTGAAAATCTCATCTTTACCCTTACATGTTCCCCCCCAAAACTGCCATGTTCGCTGAGATCATTTTACATGAGAAGATGACAATTTTGAAAGAGGAGCACTAATACATACAATGCATGTGTATATATGGGTTTTCGGGGCTGGACCATATTTTATTAGGTATTTTGAGGCTAAACAACACGGGGAAAAGTCTACGGGACTGAACCACATGAACTTTGTTTTTTTGGGGGCATTGACACAATTTTTCCTTATTTATAGGTGAAAAATAGATTTAAATATGACAACATCCTATTATGCGCTTGTGCACATATCTAAGTAGACGGAAACAAGTACTCGAGATATCTTTATGTTGATATTTGAAAGGTTCAGCATTTCGTCGTAAGTGGCATGAAAACATGCTACACAACCTTTGAAGAATAGACTCTAACATGTGGATCTCATCACAACATATTTTATATTCTTAAAAATATGCAAGAGAAGAATCCTAACCATGATAATTGGTGGCATTAGATAAAGATGTGTGTATTTGGTCTTATCTATCATCTACCTGTTAATTTAATTGACTAGCTTGTTTGGAGTCTACCAAAAGGTCCAACAGGCCCACCTCAGCGTCCATTATGTGTTTGGACTCCTAACAGGTCTCTAACTGGCCCACTTCAGCTTAAGCCATCATGTCATTAGCTTGCGCAAATTTCACAAAACCTCCTGAGACTTGGGGGCGTTTTCCGCAAAACACCCTTAAACTTTGTTTTTCCTACTAAAAACCAAAAAAAAAAATCCCATAAATGACAGCTTTTCACATAAAAACCCATAAAAGCATGGAGAAGCAGAGTCCCAGAGGAAACAAGAGAAGGACAAAGTTGGACAAATAGCCATATCCTCCAATAGCAAGGTATAGTTCTTAATTGGGATTTTTTTTTTAATTTGGGGTTAATTGACGAAAATTAAGAAAACATTCTAAAACTGAACCAGATTCAGACCCGATCCATATATAAAGAGTTGCCAAACTGACCCTTAGACTCCTCCAACGGCCGACATGAGTCTTTCCTACGAAGCAACGGACCTTTTTCTGTCGTCAACAGGGTGTGTTGGCCTATTAGGTTTAGAGTCGAAGTCATGATAAACTAGAGCTGCGAAATGCGTGATATCAGATATTTTTGGCTTTGGTGTGCATGAAAGCAACATGGGCAAATCGCGTTAATTTGTTTCCGATATTTCAAATAGCGGGAGGGCGGAGTTTAGGCTATCTACTTTCTATGCGCATATCCTCTCCTCCTTTTGAGCAAAGAGGGTGGGTGGGTGGAGGTTGATGCGCACGATAATACTTTAAAAGATACGGAGAAATGACGAGGCATTCAGAAAAAAAGAAGAAGCAGGCGTTGTGTTTTTCTGAGCTATGATAAGCCAAGCGGCTGCTAATGACATCGATCTCCCGTTGTCTTGTACGGTCGCTTTCATGAGGAGGGTGAAATGCGTAAGAGAGGAGGCCGAGATAGAGGAATAGGGGAGAGGGCAAAGAAGAAATAATTTGTTAATTAGTAAGTAGAAAGGAACCTTGGTTGGTTGCTCAAAAAAAAAAAAACAAATTTGCACTGCATGATTTGGGAATGGATTCTCTTGGGCTTTAGGTATGGGAAAAGCCTAACTCATCTTCCTTTATCCAGATAAAGAGGAGAAAAGGCGGGATAAAGGGCCGCTTGATGGGTGTCCAACAAGATTGCAAGAGCGATGAGCGAGCACTTTTTACGTAGGGTGTATCTATATATATTACGATTTGGGATCCTCTACTTATGAATAGTGTCCTAATATTTACTAATACTTAATCTTAGCCTTTCATTTTACATATGTGGGGCTCATTGGAAGGGATGGAGGGTGATGGAGGGGATGGATCTATTAGGAAACATTAGGAAACCCTATTCATGAGTAGAGAATCTGGATCCATATATTACAAGGCTAGTCTAGTTTCATACAGAGGTCACTCGAACAACCTTGATCAGTGAACAGGCATGATATGCAAACTAAAGAAAATATAGTTTCAATAAAAATCCACACAGGATTTAGGATTTTGTAATTTGAATTTTGAGTTAGTTATGCTAGGCTGGATCAAGGGACTGGTCGATGGAGACGAGGTTAAAACCATATAATTACGACTGGTATATGATATTTTTATCTAGTTGACTAGTTAGTACAAGGTTGAAAGATTGGGGAGACAAATTTAAAACACTTAAAAATTGTGGGGGACTACTTTTAAAATATGAAGATAAGGGTGGCTAATCTACAAAGTGATGATGCTGGTGTGTGTGTGGGGGGGGGGGGGGGGAGGGGGGGGGATTTTTGGAAAAAAAACTAAGTATTAATGATGCTAATACAAAATGTACTATGTAGAAATAAAATATTGTCAATAGAAGTACCTTATTAAAAAAATTTACAATTGGTCCCTCCACGTTGCACACAATTCGCGAATAGTTTCCTCTTGTGATACATTGCGGCATTTATTTCTAAAACCCTTCTGCTAAAGGGTCAATAAGATCAAATATTGAGGGGGCAATTTGGAAATAAGGCCCTAGTATTTCAAATTAATCTCAGGGGTTCAGTGAGGAGAAATGCTCCCATGATTATGAATAGAGCCCTTGCAGTGTCAACTCCTTTTTTAACTTAGTAACCCTCTAATTTTATTAATGAAATACGAGAATACGAGTAGGACCGTCCAACCCCTCCACTTTTCTCAAAAACAAAAGTTATATAATGCAGCGCACCACGTAGCGTTCAGCTGTGTTAAAGCAAGTCCAGCAAGCTCCCAGTTGGGAGTCCTAGTCATCAAGCTCTCAAGAGCTCTCAAGCATTTTGGTATAAAAAATTATAAAAATCCTCCTTGGGAGCATCTCCTTATTTTATGGAGCTCCAACAAGCTCCTAGTTAGGAGCTCCAACAATATCAAAAAAACCCCTCTTCTATTTTAATATTTTACCCATTACTTTTAATTATATTTAAACCTCTTGTATTTTATTTCTAACCGTTGGATACGGTCTTCGAGGGAGCGCACACGGTCTTCGAGGTAACTCGCGGTCTTCGAGGTTGGGCACGAACTTCGAGGTATCGCAAACTTTGACCGACTGATTCCTATAAAATTCAATGCCTTCTCACCTCAACCCATCGTCTCCCAAAACAAAATGTCTAGCTCATCTAGCTCTAGCGATGATGAAATGATGAAGAGGTTCTTTCTTATGGGAGCTGCTGCCGTCGAGGAAGAAGAACAAGGGAAAGGTTCAACTTCAGTTCAACACAAAAGACGTACCGTGCTCCATCGATACCGACTGGAAGGCCACAATCGGTTGTTCCAAGATTATTTTGCTGACACACCAACATATCCTCTTCATTATTTTCGTCGAAGATTCAGAATGTCGCGTTCGTTATTCCTTCGAATCCACGACGCTGTCGTCGAACATGACAAGTACTTCGTCCAAAAGAGGAATGGTGCTGGACAGTTAGGACTATCTAGCCTTCAAAAGATTACTGCAGCTATGCGGATGCTCGCATATGGAGCATCCGCTGACGCCGTTGACGACTACGTTCGGATCGGTAAAAGTACGTCGCTTGAGAGCGTGAAGAGGTTCGTTCGATCGATTATCAACATCTTTGGGGAGGAATACCTTCGTTCACCGACTAATGAAGACGTTGCACGCCTGCTCGAGGAGGGTTCACAACGAGGTTTTCCTGGTATGCTTGGGAGCATCGACTGCATGCACTGGGTATGGAAGAACTGTCCAACCGCCTGGCAAGGTATGTATACTAGGCATTTTCATGAACCTACAATTATTTTGGAGACCGTAGCTAGCAAAGATCTTTGGATATGGCATGCATTCTTTGGACTGTCGGGGTCTCACAATGACCTCAATGTGCTACATCGTTCACCGGTTTTCACACAACTTGCGGAGGGAAGAGCTTCACCGTGCAACTATACTGTTAATGGCCACGAGTACAATATGGGATACTATCTCGCCGACGGGATTTACCCAGAGTGGTCCACATTAGTGAAGACTATTCCAGCACCTTGAGGAAACAAGCATAAGTACTTTGCTCAACAACAAGAGAGCGCAAGAAAAGATGTTGAGCGAGCTTTTGGCGTGTTGCAAGCTCGATTTGCGATTGTTCGTGGACCAGGACGTTTCTGGCAACCTAGTGTGCTGAAAGACATCATGACAGCTTGCATCATAATGCATAACATGATCGTTGAAGATGAACGAGATTGTCAATTGGACAACAACTTCGACTTTAATGATTCGATACCAGTCGTTGAACCTTCTCATGTGCAGACGGTGCCTCTAACCGAGTTCATCCAAAATCATCATCGGATCAGGAACACGCAAACACACAAATCACTAAAGAATGATTTGATTGAGCATCTGTGGCAGCTCAAGGGATCCATCGACGAGGATTAAGTTTCTTTATGTTTAATGTAATTTCAGCAAAGAAGTTCGAGTTGTTGTACCGCGCCAATTTTCTTTTCAATAAAGTAGTTGTTTTCATTAAATGCCAAATTTTTCAACTTCAAGTACAATCATAAATCTAATACAAGATAATTAGGAAGAACTAATTAGGATGCGATGCGAGTACAATCATAAATCTAATACAAGATAATATATGATAATTAGGAAGAACCCTTAGACATCCACCTCTCCAATATCTCCGCCTGACGCATTTCAAAGTACTGTCGTTGAACTGGATTGAGTGTTGAGAGATCCATCTTCATGATCTCGTCATCTTATTTCTTTTGTTTTAGCTCTATTTTTTGATTTGTGGTTTCCTTCATCCACGCAAATGCCTCTCCCATGATGGACGTAGCGGATCCAGAGTTTTCCACATTTTGTTTCCTCTTGAGCTTTGCTGCTTTCCTCCCTTCAGGCCTTACTAACACATCATCCGAGTCGATGTTCAACTCGATGGGGGTCGCTGGCATGGAATTGTTTGGTGAGGAATCAGAGTTCGTGGTTCTTCTCGGCTGTGATCGAATCTTATTGTAAGTTTCCATTTGTTGGATCCACTTTTGATGATGACGCAACTCAACCCAGCAATGATCAAACACGAATGGTTTACCATAAAGAGATTGGTATAATTCTTTTACTTCTGCAGTCTACACAAGAGTTAAATTTAGAATAATCAAACATAATTAAACATCTATATTCCTCTCTTCAATGCTATGCTGTTGACATAAAAACATATAAGTTAAATATTTACCTGGTCAATAATTCCCGTACCAGATCTTTGTCTTCCTTCAATCTGAGCAACGCACCCGCAGAACTTGTTGACGGACAGTTGAATCGTTGACCAACGATGCATCATTTGGTTTGGCGTGCGACTCGTTGGATCGACAGAGTATTGGATAAAGTAGTTGTTAGCTCTGTGCCAAAACTTATCTTTGTGTTGCCCCATACCTTGGATAGCGTCTTGGCTCGTGTTCAGCCAAGCAGACACAAGAAGCTTATCCTCGTGGACAGTCCAATTTTCGGACTGCGTGTAAGCCTTCTTCTTCTTTGTGGTCGGTGTTTCTTGGGATGACACTTGTTGTGTTGCTTGGGAGAACTCGATGGGGTTACCTTCCTCTACGACTTCTGTATAGAACGATGGGTATAAGGTTGATTCTTCACCGGTAAGGAGGTGCGAATAATAGTTTTGTGAGGGATCCATGGGATTTGTAATTTGATAGTTTATGAGAGAGTTGTGTGGGATGATTTTTGTGTTGAAGTGAAATGAATTTATAGATGTTTTTTTTTTATGAGAGAGTTGTGTGGGATGATTTTTGTGTTGAAGTGAAATGAATTTATAGATGTTTTTTTACTGTTCATGATATTTTTTTAATCCTAACAGCTAAATTTTTTAACGGGAGGATTTTTCATCTTGTCTCCAACGGTAAATTTTGATCAACACCATCTTCAACGGTACATTTTCCTCTTAAAAAACACTGATCAACATCATCTTCAACGGTGCATTTTCCTGTTCAACGGTAAATTTTCGCTCAGCTCAACTTCATCAACATTTTCACCTCAAATTTCGAAACCAATAAAAAAAAATTCCAAAAACCCCTCTTCATCTCAGTTTCGACAGACCCCAAGCCCACCCCTTTCGTCCAAACTCAACCCCAACCCCAACCCCACCCCTTCGACAGACCCAACTTGGAGGGGGGTTTTTTGTAAACTCTTCCCAGTTCGGAGCTCCGAAGCGCTCCACAAATTTGTGGAGCGCTTGGGAGCTCGGAACTTCTCCACCGCCACGTCGGCCATAGGAGCTGGGCTTGGGAGTCCTTCAGAGCTTGCTGGAGGGGGGATTGGCAACATCCTTCGCCACGTCGGCCTTGAGAGCAGAGATCGGATCTTGCTGGACTTGCTCTTATAGGACGACCACCCACTGGATTCTTGTTTATTATATAAAACTTTATTTACTTTTAACTGTATTTATTATATAAATAATGATAGAGGCACACCCTCTACCACACTCCCAACCACACCACCTCTCTTGCTACAGTGCACGGGCCCACATGATATTTTATTTTTTAAAATATCATATGGGTCTCGTGTACTGTAGCAAGAGAGGTGGTGTGGTTGGGATTGTGGTAGAGGGTGTGCCCCTAGTGCCTCCCTTATTATATTTAGGACATAACAAACTTTTGGCTTCACCACCGGTCGTATACCCAATAACAATAAGCATATGACTTGAAGTGAGCAAACTATGAAGTCTAACGAATTAAGTGATACTAACTCATGCACTGATGTTGTTCAAAATAAAACATAGACATATATTATTATATATATTAACGTAGGTTTCTGCGCAACGACTCGAAGTCCCCCATGAATAAACCGATCTGCATTTGAGGAGTGTTTTATTTTTAATGTATGATGATGATGGCCTTTTGTAGACTTTCCAGTTTGCAATTTTTGAAATAGCTGGGCCCAACCTTTCGGCCTAAAATGGGCTAGCTTGACGGTCGGGTCCAATTTTGGGCCCCGTTATTAGGGTATTTTCGGCAGTAAAAAGCAATCAAGCAAAAAAAAAATCGCGTTACTGCCTTCCCAATTCCGCCCAGCGAAAACATCATATCCACTC